CGGCCGTAACGCATAAAAGCACAGAATTATCGTCACACGAAAGACCGCATTTAAATAATTTATACAGTCGAGTCATAAAATTGTTGGAGATAACCGCGTTTTTATTGTTATTTCTCATAATTTGATTTAATTTTAATGTGGGCTGGCGACGTGCGCTCCATAAAAACCCTAAAACCTTTTCAAGGAAAGCGATAAAATTATGAATATTTTCAGACGTTTAAGGTAACAAAGAACACATAAACGCGGGGTAATGGAAATGTCACATGTCAAAAATTAAAATAAAATAAAATCATAAAAAATACGTTCATTAAAAATGAAGCATGGAAAAATTGTTTTGAAAACACGTACAACACAAGTCGAGCCAATTCAGAGCCAAGTCAGAACAGAACAATTCACTACAGCGAGGCACTTCTGAGAAGGTCATCAGAGAGCGCACGCGTGCGTCCACAAACTTCTACGCTTTCTTAGCCCAAATATTCTGAATTCTCTGTCTATCATAAGAATATGACGGCGAGTTGAGCTTATCGCAGCTACTAAATCACCATCACTTCAGAATTGAAACGCTTTTATATTTAATAAAATTTCGGTCAGGTGTTAGCTCGCTCTGTTCCAAACAGAATCGCTCAGCTCACAAGTGTCGGGCTCATAAAAAATTGTCACAAAAATTTTACGAGGGAGTGCGTTAAACTCATAATTACTAGGCGCATAAAGTACATAGTCTCATTTTTAATGGAAAAATATATTTATAATGTACTTAGATATTATAATAATTACCAGTGTAAACAGTCGATGAGCTGTAAAGAAACAGCTCAAATTCAAGTCCCCATCAAAATTGTTTCCGTATTTAAGAGATTATTTCAGAGATCATTTCAGAAAACCAAAATTTATAAAATTTAAGAAATATAAAAATAAGAAAATATAACAAAAAACTCATCTTTATGGTTCATAGAGAAATTCTTTGATTCTTCAAAAAAAGTTTTATTTATTAATTTTTTTTACAACTCTTTTTGGTGAGGTCAGATGTAGTCGTCTTGTTTGCATATAACCGATACAAGTTAGTCTATGGCTTAACATATAAACAAAAAATTAAAACTAATTAAGGTTTTTCATTACATTATCAGGTTTATCACATTTCAAGTTGATTATCGGAAACTTGTAGTTTAAATCGATATAACAATGCTTGAGACTTACTAAAGACTTAAAACTTAATAATGCTAACCGCAGTTTTATCAGAATACCTTAGGCTGAATGTCACCATAATACATTGCAAATTGTCTTCAAATACATTGGTAGGTCTTACGAAGCAAAAGAAGGGATCGCCAAACAAGTGCTACGACGATACACTACACTGAAGTATAAGGAAAAGAAACATTTTGGAGAATACATAATATACAATGTTGAATTTTTATGATCCTATGTCTAATAATAATCTCTTTGATTTATATTAAATTATTAGAAACTAGAAATTAGATAATACAGAAAGTATCTACCGTTTCTCGGCAATAGATGGTCTTGTTCCGGCGACAAAATTCTAATATATATATAAACGATCTTATTTGTAAAATAACAATAAATATGGATGAATCCTTTGAAATAAAAAATAACTTTCATAAAAATATCAATTCCGAGAAGGAAGTGCTCTTTTACTTCCACAGAGAGTGTTAAGATATTTGATAAAATATTATTGAAAACTGAAGCTTCGGAGAGAATCATTAAATAAAAATAGCATGAACACAATCTGGAGAAAACTAGATTTAAACTTCGAAGGATTTTAAATGCAAATACAGTATTTAGCAACTGTCTACCTAATTCATCTCTAGAAGTTCAGCATTGACATTCAGTTTGAAGTTATAAAACTTTTCATAGAGCTCATAGTAATATATTATATTGTATATAATTGCAGGATAAAAGCCGAACCATTTAAAAAAAAGTCGATATTTCGCATGAGAAATGCTTTCCTTTATTTAAGTTTAAAACTGATTATTGCAAGACATAACAATTTAATGTTATTAATCGCATTCATAACTCACACTTTTGTAATTTTTAATGTCTTTTACGATTTTTTGATTTTTACTTAAATTTAAACATTTTAAATTTAAAAAATTTTGAATTAATTTTGGTTTATATTTTCTTCCGGAATTTTAGTATCAGGAATTGAACATATTTCTAGCACTTGCTTCTTGTACTAAAGCATGTATTAATGCCTAAAAAACAAAATAAATTTGTGAAATGACAATTTATTCTACAAATTCAACCTACATTTGGGAAGAGAAGATAGTGATATTGAAGATCCGGTTCCAAAATCCATTGTCAACAAGGTGGGTTTTTCCTGTGAGTTGGAGCACATTTTGCTGTTTGGATTGTAAAGCATACAAGGTTTATTAGTAAGAACATCATCGATCACGAATTTCATAATCTGGAACATCTCTGCCATCATTCGACAAATAATGGAAACATCATGACTTTCCACCTTGCAGGAGATGATAAAGTTCTTATGTGTTAAGTCACCGACATTATGCTCCAGTTCTATTGCAGCAAGTTATTCACCCCAGGAATGTCTGAAGTATTCACAGTAAGACTCTTAATGGATTTAATGCAACACACTCCTACCTCAGTTTATGCCTTTCTAATGTAGGAAATATTTAAGTTGTTAGATGCAAGTTCATACAATAACATACGTTTGACTGACCAGGTTTGGTTGACATTAATTTCATCGGACAGATATTATGAAACTTTAAGATAATTGTCTCAATCCCTCTTTAATAAAACATCACGGAAATATATCTACAAAGGTCAAAAGACAATTTATAAATTTCTGAATTCCATAAACCATTAAGAATTTCTTTTGTAGAGTAACTTTGTATATGTCTTACTTTAAAAAGGAGTGCATTTTTTTAAAAGTAATTTTTTTCTAGCGCTTAGTAATATACGTTTATAGGCAAATCATAGATTTTACAGTGGAACTTTATAATCTTTCGACATCATAAAAACTGTCAAAGTTGACAGAAAGAGGAACTGAAATGAAAAGATCAGAGAGAAAACTAACTTAATTAGATCACCTGTTAGATGTTTGTGTTTTACCATCTATTCCGATCGTCATGCCCCAGTATGTCGAATATATTTTCTTCACTCCGGAGACCTTCAATTTAGTCGAAAGTTGTTTTTTCATATTGGCATATTTATTTAAAGCATCATAGCTAAGTATCATATTTTAATGTTATATTTAATTAGTTTCTTTTTCAATAAACTAAGAAGAACCAACTAAGAAGAAACTAAGAATCATTTTTAGAGTATAATTGGTCCTTAAGTATCATACAAGGCGTTAAAGTGGAGTTTAAACTGCGAAAAAGAAGACATACGATTAATTTTGAAGATTATTTTATTTATCTCACCTGGTAGACATATATAGGAATATTTTGATTCTCGTTACTTACTTAATCTTTTTTACTTTCTTATTTATTGTCGATACCCATCGTCTTATTAGTTTTTCTAATTCCTAACTTACACAATCTTCATCCCTTTTTTATGTTAATTTTTATAAAATCAAATTTTCCTATTTGGACAGGTTAACATTTAGCGATTAAGGAGGAAGAAAAATGAGATCAATTTAGAGTTATGATGTTGTGTGATGTCATATTTAGCTTACCTGTTAAACATTTAAAATTTTTAACTTTCGTAACTGACTTAATCTTCTAAGTTTTAAATTTTTATTATATATCATAGTTATTTTACTACTCCCCACATATATATACGATTATTCAAATTCTTTATAATCTCCATCTTTTTAACTATCATAACCTATTTCATCTTCTTTTTTGTTCTATGTTTGTAGTTGTAGTAGTTGGCTAAATCTACGATGAAAGGGAAATGAAATGAGAACAATTTGGAGGAATAATGTTTCTCGAGTGTCCTATTTAGCTCACCTGGTGTATACGTTATAATTTTGAATTTTTGGAACTAATTTCATCTCATCTAATTTTTTTGTTTCTTTGTGGAACCTACTCATACTAAGTTTTTTTTAATTGTGGCGTTATATATTCTTTAAGTATTAATTTTTAAATTTTCAGAGTTCGTTAGTGTTTGAGTTCAAGCTACGATAAAATGGGGAAATAAAATAAAACCAGTGTGGGGCTAGGATATTATAGTGATGCTCACCTATTGAATTTCCGCAATTCAAATCCTTCTTCGTGGTATCATTTGTTTTATGTGTCGATTGGCTTTTGGATTGATTTTATAATAATTACAACTATACTTATGGTAAACAAAATAACCGTAAGCCTGAAGGAGAAAATAAAATGAGATGAATTTTGTACAAAGATATTCTAAGAGTACTCTATTCTACTCACCTGTGTTTTGTTGTTAAGCCCTTTTTTTGATTTCTTGATTTTACTATTTTTTTTTTTGTCCAGCACAACATATATTTATATATACATTATGCTGGAGAGGTTGGCTTTGATTTTTATATTAAATCAGATTTTTTTTTTGTCGTTGGTTTTTTTGCTTTTTTATTCTTTCTATAGTTCATGGCATACATTCCAAACCGACCTGATGATATGTTACCAATATTAATAGGTGAATCAGGCGAAGTATTGGTCAGATCGTACGAATCTGATTCAGTGTCGGGAAATTCGCATTTGACAGAAACTTCTTTATTCTCCCACGTAGCATTTTGAACTGCACGAAGTTTAGGCGACTTTTTAGGAGATTTTTTTGGACGCTTTTTCTTGTTGTTTCCTGCTCTTCGGCGAGCAGGATGCACTTTCGATATACCATGTTTCTTATGAAATGTACACAAGTTCTGTGTTTCCATATCATCACCGCACTCCTCGCTTCGAACAGTCCTTTCTGCGTTGTCAGACTCATTCGTATAATCAATTTTGTCGTTACTGGTTGATGGAATATCGTCAATTTTGTCATGAACATTTTCTATAAATGCTTCCCGCTTTCCGTTTCTGGCTCTCCTTTTTGGATATAATCCTTTGTTGTTGAGTTCCAAGGCCTCTTTATTTTTTGATTTGATACGCGCAATCGTTCGCGCAAAATTAATGGCAACTGCTTTCTTTTTCTGTATATACTCTTCTTCGAGTTCCTTTAGTTTACGTACCGCTGTTTTGTATTCTTTTTTAAATGATGCGTTGAACTTTGTCATGATGTCCCGCTTCTTCTGTGTTTTCGTCTTCGACTTACCTACTCCTAGCGCGGCATTTAAATTTCGAAGTAGTTCTTTTCGTACTTGCTTTTGGAAACCTTTAAGTAGCATTTCCGATGAAATCAGACATAAACAACTGCCCTTTTTAGTACGCATAGTGCTCAATTTGACTTTAGCTCCAAAAAAAAAAAAAAATTCCTTCAAAAATTATCGAAAATTTTTAAAAATGTCAAACTTCAAAAATTTTTACGATAGAAAAATTGAACTTGACTTCAGACAAAAATATATTCGAATGATAAATGTATAAAATTATTTTACTACGAAACTTGGAATTATAAATCAAGCCAACTTAGTGAAAAAAATTTAACAAAATATAATTACAACAAATATTTTTTTCATGCCTTATATAGATCATAATTCTACTAATAATTTATGATGGCATAACATAACGTATATTGATTAGCAAATCCCCATGAAATAGTTATATGTACCTTTATCATAACCATCTATATAATAGTGTCAGTAACTTTGTATGATTTTTGTCTACAATGAAAATATCAAAATTGTCCAATAATATCAATAGATATTTAAAAAATCAGTACAGGTCTGGTCATCTGTAGTTATGCACTTACGCCTTTCGTCTATGAACTATCTTAAGCTTAGTAGAGTGGTGAATATTTGTCACAGTAAAATCAAAAGCGTGATAATAGTTCAAATGAGAATAGGTATTGCATTCCAGCTCGGTAATGGATCGAGATAAATCTATTTGTTGGTTGGATTGGTTCAGTATTAACTACTATCATCTTACCAAACGATTCTTTTGAAGTTTGCTGGCAATATTTTTGTAACTAAAGTAAGGAAGTTTCAATATTTCTATAAAGAAGTCCTAAAAGCACCGATATCGGCTCAAATATAAAGATGACATCATAGGGCTTTACGATAAAGGAATAAAGATTCTTACCGAAATATGTTAAAATGTGTTGCTTTTAATATTTTCCTTATATATTGTATAAAAAAGTATATATATAAAAAAGTTTTAAAAAGTAATATATAACTGCCGTTAGAACCCACAGTTTTTGGTAAATTTTATTCGCGTCTGCTAAATTCATCTTAGCAATATTTATAACTGTTAATAATGTATCATTACTATAATTAAATGAATTTGCTTTTAATTTTAATATATTTAATTATATATATTATTTGTTTAAGTATTACACTAAATACTGTTAATATTGCTGGTATATATATATGTATATTTGAATTTTATTTGTGCATATATACTTCTACGTATATATACGCCCTAGGCTATATTCTATGGAAAACACATTGTAATCATTTTCCCTATTAATATATTTATTATAGTTTCGCTTTTATTATAGAGAATTAAAAATGCATTTTTGTTAATAACAAAGGCTGTGAAATAGACTACTGACATAGGTTCACTCGTACTAGATGGTACATGGTGCATCATGCATAAACTGATATGCAAATATTTGAGACTATGAACGAGAACGTTAAATATTAAGAATCATCAAATTAGAATACCGAACAGCTACAGTACATAAGCACCGACTGAATTCTCTCATATTTTAATTATTGTTATATCTAAATATTTTGACAATAACTACTTCTAAAACTGAATAACATTATCTATTTGTGCCATTACTCAAAATGTTATTGTTATTGTACTCTATTAATTACCACTTATCTTCCTTTCTTATCTTCCTTTTTAATATATAACTTAATGTAAAACTTACTGCTGTAAATTATAAATCGAATGATCGAAGGATAATAGTACCAAATGGAATATAGTGGAGAAAAGCTGTGGGGGGTAATTTGCTCTAAATGGTATACTCGTAGAAGAAAGGAATGAATGTCGAAGAAGAGACTAAAAGCCTCAGTATGTGTGGCATAGTTCTTTGGTTGTTGTAATGCTATTGTATATATGTACTTGTATATAGACTGAAATTTAATTATATATCTCTGTCCATATAATTTAATATCAGTGTTCGTTGGTTTTATTTGTTGCCAAGCAATATATATACGGAAAGTGCTATTTAGTTACTTCATTCATCTTAAATATCAGCAGTTCTATAATCTTAAAATTTTTTCTGGTATATTTCTTTAAAGAAAAAGTATGATTTATATTTATTTTACACTAAATTAAATTTATATTTATTTTATTTTTTAATGTCAAATATGACGATAGTCCGTTTATTTCACTTAATATTAACTATTGTATTTAATATAGTGGTTTCAAACAGTAAAATGAAATGTATTGAAATTTAATTATTAAAAAATAATTTTAATTAAGTATATTAATTATTCTACAGCTGGTTTAGAATTTTATTCAAAGTAATTTAATAAATGAACTTTCATAATAAATTAAAAATAAACTCCAAGCTTGTTCATACAAGCCAAGTATGGCTTTGGATCAGTTGACTAATAAACACTAACTCTGAGCTTCAAAATTGGCAGGGCACGAGTTCAACCTTTGCTACTTGAAGTCTCAAAAGAAATTAGTTAATATAAGAAATAATTCCAATACTACTGATGATGGGTGTTTGCTAATACTCAAAAGAGCTGTATGGTCAGCCAAAAATTCAATCAAAAAAAAATAAATAAAAATATTGTTGTTACAATTCACTATTGTTCAAAACATGTAACTGAATTATTTACTAAATCACGATAATCTATAATGTGTGTAATGTGAATTGTAGCGCAAAATATGAATCTCAGCGACATTCTACTAATATGGAAATAAAATTAAAAGCTAAAATTTTAATCTTTTTAAATACTACGAGTTTATGAAAAACTATTATAAATTAAAAGCATTGCATTGTAAATGAAAACGAAACCACAATTGAAATTATAAGCCCCGTTCAACAAACTGCACTGTCCGTTCATCCGTTCACCCGTTCATCTGTCTGAGAGTACCAGGTGTTAACAGCCAAGCATGCAACACTGCTCACACTTCTTAACTAGAATAACTCGTAAAATGTATCTGTTTTTCATAAATTAAATGACGAAAAAATGAATGAGGCTTTATTGTAAAATGAATTAATAAACAAAATACATATTTCCATATTTAAAATTTACTGACAAATTTTACAATTTTTGAATTAATTTATATTTTTAGTGGTTATACAAAATAAATTTAAATAATTAATTAATTAAATGAATTAAATCGTTACTTACTTTGCTTGGTACCGATATTGTATTTAGTATTGAACGAACTACATTTTATTATTATCTAATATACAATTGTTGTTTTTTTTTTTTAATTATAATATAATATAAGATATTTCCATTTATGTACAATAACAACGATTCATTGAGAATATCACATGGATTCAATATGATTTTTTTATTATTATATGTAAGTGGAGCCATTATAGATCCCTGATCTATGTGTGACCAAATTATCTGTCTTTATGTTGTGGGTATACATATTAAGTTCAATGATAAAAAATTAATAAAACTGACGATCTGATGATCAGTCATTGCTAAAGCGTAGTGATCCGTCATGTGGGGCTAAAGGTGATATGTTACACCTCTCCACTTTTTCAACTTCTTTAGCAACACAATAGTAATCGTATATCTCAAATCGATATTGTGGTGATATACTTCGAATATTATATCGATATATGAAGCTTTACTATATATATATATGAAGCTTTTGAGTTATGTTTAAAATACTTAAGAATCTATAGTGTCTCAATGGTATTTAGCCACGTCTTTTCTTTTTAATAATATTCAATTAGTAAGTTTTTGTACATATAAAGATGAATGCATATTATTAATAAACCGCTACTTTCGGGTTAAGATTTAGAATACTTTCAAAATAAGGCATATCTGTTGTAAGGGACGATTAAAATCCATAAGACATCGCCTTGTACTAGTAGTACGTATACGACTGGTAGTGAGTATCACTTTCCGTATCCGATATGTAAATCTCGCACCACAGCGGTTAGAACCCATAACTTCCAAATATACTGACTAATAGAAGTTGACAACTTAAAGTGAATTTTGATATGGCTGTGACTATGACTATACCTATGACTATATTCATTCACTTTTATTCGATGTGGAATTATATTTACCAATCGTGTTAGATAGGCATCGCTTACACAACAAGAAGGTTTGTCCGAACGTACAACCTAAATTGGTACCAAAGAGACTCCCTAGAATTGAAATGGGCGCTCATCGGCGCAATATAAGTATGGTAAGAGCAACTTAGCATTCATAGCAGGTTATTATGTTAAATAACTGTAGAGGCTGTATTACTGAACTCTTAAGCAGATGAATTGGTTTGTTGATTATAATATATTGTTTAAAGCAACTTTTGGATTCAATAGTCTCATTTTTAAATAGTTCATAGTTCTAGTAGATTTTAAACAAATCAATGCATTCATTATGATCGCTAAAGGAAGATTATAATTAGGAATTCGTGCTGATAAGGAAGTATCTCAAAAGATGTGTGCTTTGTAGAAAAATATATTATATTTAAAAAACAAATATATTCGGTATTTTAAACCAAAGTGAAAGTAACAAAATGTTTGCTATCCCTTTTAGAAGCCAGCATAAGTTGTTACTCTGTACTCGTAATGATCCGAGTGGACAACCTTGTCAAAATCAGCACATCGTTGCAAAAGCAGAACCAATGCATCATAACCTGGACTTGAATTCATTGCAATAAAAATATGCAGTGACGTGTTGAAATTGCATTTGAGGTGCAATATTTTCCAATTGAATGGTTATCATAATGAGAATACTTAAATAAGCGTAATTGCACCTTTTCCTTCAGCCGCTGCTCATTGGACTGGTAGAGTTACTGATTGGTACGAGTATCAATAAAAAATTAAAAATAATTTTATATCGAAGATGTGTACTCGTTGCTGCGCTCTCATCTGCTCACCTGCTCACCTGCTTAGATGCTTTATTGCCAATGTACCAATTCCAGTACAAACCGCTGTAGCTGTGGTCGTAACCGCCGCATCACAGTTATGGACATGACGTTTGGTCCAAATACTTGGCAGCCACTTATGTGCTTGATTTGTTTCTTACGCTTGAAGTCGTGGCGGCATGAGAGCAGTTGCAATTGTTGCCTCCGCCGTTGATTTCATCGTTTTGTCTTCCGAAGCGTGCCATAAATTGGTTAATAAAATATTTCATTCTATAAAATATCATGAGTTGTAATTGAAATTATAGCGAGCGTGCGTTCAACTTGCCTTAAGTTTCAAATCCCACTATATTCATTTAATGGGTGTGTACGATGTAAGATGTAA